TTTTTTCAGTCCGTTTCCATTTGACGGGTAAAATAATATATGGTTGGGTTCTTCCTTGTTTGTGTTCGTTTTCGATAAAAGCTTTTTTATTGGTCTTCTGAATCAAACCATCATAATTCGAAAAATATGGTACAATTTATAGAATCTGGTTCATTTTATGGCATCTGGTACATTTCTTAGACAGATCTAGTACACAACAAAAATATATTCTGGCACTGGTACTGGCACTGGTCTCTACCACATTCAAAATGGTTTTATTTTTTCTAAATCGCTTATTTTTTGTGATACTAGAGCGTTATGGACCCCCACTCTCTTCCAATTTAAGTGAAAATAATAAAATAATAAACCATTAATAATACTCACCTAATGTGTCTGTTATTCGAGCATATATTACGTCTGTTAGTTCATTTAAAAACATCGGCACCATTGACCAAACACATCACATACTAAATACATTGTTAAAATTTTTATTAACAATAAATAAATCGAACTATACAACAAAACTGATATTATCACACGTGCACTTCCGATATATTTTTCGTTTGAAGGTACGAGAAGTACTGATTCATTTTTAATACTCTTTAAAATTTTAAAATATAAAAACCCTTTACATAATGATTTACGAACGGTGGCTCATTCTGAACGATATCGCAAAAAAAACACTGATTGTCCCAAATTAAAATTCTAATTTATATAAAATTCGAGGTTGGTGAAGTTGGCACCCCCAATGATATTTTTGCAAAAAGAAAACTATTGCACCAAAATGCGCTATTGCAAAATTAGTCGTGTGAGTATCCGTATCCGGTACTCGGATATTTTTGTTCTACAGGGTTGGCCAAACCTCTGTCGTAGTTCTATAACTCCTACTATGCAAATCTTAACGATTTATTTGATGTATACCTGTCAATGGTGGCCAATACCAAATATCCCAAATTATTTTCTTGTGTACAGGGTGGCCCAATAGTAAATTAGGCAAATCACTTAATTTTTTTTAAATGGAATGACCCAACTTTTTTTACAATTTTAGGTACTCTATGGTCACTAGTGCATACCCACAAAATATTGTTTCTAACATCCTACCCCTTTCGCAGAAAAAGAAAAAATACCAAAAAATATTACATTTTCAGACGCCTATTAAAATATGCAGTGCTTTCTCAAATTTGATGTTAGAATTTAAAAAACTACGATTGTATAAAGCCAATAGACCAAAGATTTTTTTGGACCAAGTTTGAATTTTTTATTTTGTACAGGGTGGTCACAAATTAATTTCACTTTCCAAAAATTTCGAGGAAAATTTTTTAAATTTTTTCAAATGTATTAACCTGTATTTCTATTCATCAACTGAAGGAGAATTTCATACCCTTCCACTTCCCTATGTACTTTCCTATACCTATCTGTCGCCGTTATAAAATAAATTCAAAAGGAAGAAAACTACGATAATAAAATTTATTTGAAATTTATCCTAAAACATAAATTTACATTTTATAAAAGATGCTCAAAATGTCTGCCATTTTCTCTAATGCAAACATTTATTCGTTGGGCCGAATGATCGAGAAACGTTTCTAAGCATATCAGGTGTAATGGAATGGAAAGCTTGCACTATCCTTTCTTTCATATTTTCAGGTGTTGTAGGTGGCGTAAGATAGACTAGATTTTTAATATAACCCCACAAAAAATAATCGGGTTTTGTAAAGTCAGGTGATCGAGCTGGCCATTTTTTTGGACCATTTCTACCAATCCATCTATTTGGAAACTTTTCATCTAATTCATCTGCCACTTCGCGTAAAAAATGCGCTACTGTCCCATCATGTTGGTACCACATTGTTAGTCTTACAGCAAGGGAAATGTTTTCAAGTAAAGTAAGAAGATGATTTGCTAAAAAATCTAAATACATCAGACCATTTAAGTTGCCTTCAAAAAAATACGGCCCAATAACATGATCCCCAATTATACCTTCCCAAACATTTACACTCCATCTTTCTTGGCTATGTGTTCTGATGATGTTAGGATTTTTCGTGGAATAATAGTGGAAATTATGTCTATTAACGAATCCGTTCTTGTGGAATGTAGATTCATCAGAAAACAGCACTATATAAAAAAAAATGGATTTTGTTGCAGTTTAGTTTTTGCCCAGTTACAAAACACCATTCTATAATCAAAATCGGTGTCTTTCAGCTCTTGATGCAATTGTATTTTATAAGGATGATATTGATGCTATTTTAAAATCCTTCTAACGGATATTCTACTTATACCTACTACTTCGGCAATCTTTTTTTGACTTACATGAGGATCTTCTATCGCTGTCAAAATTACAGATAATTGGTTATCATTATCAGTAGCACGTTTGTCAATTAGGCATTCCAACGACCTGTCAAACATTATGTACCAGTGGGAAATTCTTGTATATCTAAGGGGGTAGCGACATAGTCTTGCAACTTGGACGCTATTTTTATTCGAAGTAGTAGTTGCCAAGCCTGTCAATTTATGAAGAAATGTATAGGTAGGTTTTTTAAATATTATTTTTATTGTGTTTGACATAAAATATTTAAATGTAATCCATTATTCATGATTTTACGTAAAGTAGAAAGAATACACCATATGTCGCCACCCTTAGATATATCAAACCTGCCCACTGGTAATTCATTTGTTTGGAATGCCTAATTATTGGTTTTTTATAAGCAACATTTCCTGTTTCGGTAAATCTTTCATGTAACTTTTCAAAACTTTTTTGATCAGGGATGCGTCTATCGGGATATCGTTGATGATAAATTCTTTTTGCCAATAAACAATTTCTGTCGGATTCTCCCAAAACACAGACCATGTCAATTAATTCGTTTTTCGTAAAATTCATTATTAATAGAAGAATTATCGCGATCAGTAAAAATAACTTGACACTTCATTAATAAATAATCTGACACTTCATTAAGACCCAGCCTACTTGATTGAATGTTCACTTTCAATAAAACCACTCGTAGAAATTGGATTTTTGATAGATCAATGTCTTTTTGGAATTTACTTTTAAACGACGACAGATAGGTATAGGAAAGTACATGGGGAAGTCGAAGGGTATAAAATTCTCGTTTCATCGATGAATAGTAATACAGGGTGTTCTATTTGAAAAAAATGTCCTAGACATTTTTGGAAATTGAAATTAATTTGTGACCACTCTGTACAAAATAAAAAATTAAAACTTGGTCTAAAAAAATCTTTGGTCTATTGGCTTTATACATTTGTAGTTTTTTAAATTCTTACGTCAAATTCAAGAGATCACTGCATATTTTAATAGGCGTCTGAAATTGTAATATTTTTTGGTATTTCTTCTTTTTCTGCGAAAGGGGTAGGATGTTAGAAACAATATTTTGTGGGTATGCACTAGTGACCATAGAGTACCTAAAATTGGAAAAAAGTTGGTTCATTCCATTTAAAAAAAAAATAAGTCATTTGCCTAATTTACTATTGGGCCACCCTGTACACAAGAAAATAATTTTGGGATATTTGGTTTTGACCACCATTGACAGGTATACTTCAAATAAATCGTTAAGATTTGCATAATAGGAGTTATAGAACTACGACAGAGGTTTGCCCAACCCTGTATATCCGACGCAACTCTGCTAATGCCTTATCTAAAATTCTGGATCTTATATTGTTTTTTCCGGCTTACCCGCATTTAACAATATAGTGGAAAAACTTGAACATGAAATCATTAAAAATATTCGACCTCGAATTTTATATAAAATATAATTTTAATCTGGGACAATCAGTATGTTTTTTTTTTTTCGATATCGTCCAGAATGAGCCAACGTTGGTGAATCATTAATATCATTATGTAAAGGGTTTTTATATTTAAAGTGTATTAAAAATTAATCAGTACTTCTCGCACCTTCAAACGAAAAATATATCGGAAGTGCACGTGGATATAATTTTTTTTTATAGTTCGGTTTATTTATTATTAATAACATTGTTATACAATGTATTTAGTGTGTGATGTGTTTGTCAATGGTGCCGGATAGATACATTAGGTGACTATTAATAATTATTTATTATTTGTTTTCGGTCCTCATTGAACATGTAGTCAATTTTGCATTTCGCGACACGGTTCAATTCACAATAGATGCGATTACAAAAGATGTCACTTTATAAGTCAAAATTAGAATAACTTTAATTATTAAAAAATATTAAGAATAAATTTCTGATAGGAACATTGCAAAAAACACGCTTAATTAACAATCAATTTAATTTCTACGATTAATTAAAACCCCCCAAGAGAACATTTTCCAGACATTTTCGTTGAACCGTGTGTGACATTTGTCACATATTCATCAACACTCTAATGTCCTCATTTGTTAAATAAACAATTAAGAATTTGCAAGCGTACAAAGGTTAGATATACCTTTTGTTATAGACGGTTTCCTGAACATTTTGCAGAAAACCGCATCTCAATCGGACTTCTTCGCAACAAGTTGTTAATTTTCACTTTTTTCATGCTAATTTGACGCGACTATTATAAACTTCGTTCAGTTGGCGTTCAGTTCACGCTCATTGCAGTTGGTGAGTTCTTGCTGGACCCAATAGACCTTTTCATCACAATTTTTTTTGTGCGCATGCGTCAGTGTCAGCTATATTTTTCGTACTGTTTTTGTAAAAATTATGATTGATAAATATTAATTTAAGTATATTCATATAAAAAAGAAAGAAAAAGCAAAGTAATAATAAGTTTAGTGTCTTAATTGAAACACAAATTTTTGCAATCATTTATAATTATTTTATCTGTACGGAAAGGAACAACGAAACGGTATTGTTATGGAGTATGTATAAGTGACACACGGTATAAATCATTCAAAGGCAATACACATATTATGTTATAAAATTTTCCAAAGCCTTCGCTGCAATAAAAAACTAAAATTTCTGATACTTTCTCATTTAATCTTTTTACAACATATTACAATAAATTATATAAAAAAAACGATTAAAAATTAACAAATTCTTAACACTTCCATTTCACTGACATGTTTCTACATATTCCAATGGTTGGTCTCCAATTGCATTTGCACTTTCGCCACATTCAAATCTTTTGAAATCCACTATTTCTAAATTGTTATTAACTAGGACATCATTGACAGTTAAGCTATCATCTAGGAGGTATTCTTGGTAGATAAGACAGGTTTCTTCATCTTTGTTAGCTGCTGGTTTGTCAGTAGAACTTCCGATTTTCTTTGGATCCATCCCCACAATATGTTGACAAATTCCTAAGAAAATTAAATATTTTAAATAATACAGCGGAGTTTCAAGTTTAAATAAAATTGAAGGTGGAAGTTTTACTACTAATTCTTTCTTTAAGAGAGTGATTAAACTAAAAACCAATATAGTTTAAAATTTTCAAAAAATCTGATGTGTCTAGTTATTATAGGCTTTTTCCGGTTATTTTGTACAACCTATTGTAGCATATCTATAAATGTTTAGCGGATAAACTAAATATATACATTGTCCACATACATCTACCCCGAAACATTTTTCTATAGATATTCATTGAAAACGAAAATAATGAAAAATTTAAATTTAGCACTTTTCCATTACGGTTCATTTTAGAAAAATCATATATAAACAAAAATTATAGAGATCGATATCGCAAACAACTTTTAGTTCAACAATTTTCATAAAAATCAGAAATTTGCACATTTTTGAAATATTTCTGCGTATGTAAGTATTTCATTCGGGTATAAATGAAATACGGAAATATGAATGTTCGAAGTTGTTCCCATGAGAAAGAGTAACTAATCTCTGAACTTTGGGAAGATTTAGGATTACTTCGTGATTGATTATTTAGTATGAATTTAATATTAAAAATTAAAATAATTTTTTAGCTTTCGAATACGAATGCTAGATGTAAAACCACAAGTACTTGTGTCGACGTAAGAGTAACTCTATGTGTGATTGCAAAAATGAGTGTTTGCGGATTCGGTTAATTGGGGTACTTGTATGGTGTCCATACACATAGGGTATCATTGCGGAGCTGCAACTCGGGTAAAAATTGGATCGACGCTACGGGACCCTATGACACCTCCCATAAAGTACCCCCCCAGATGTTCCGACTTTGTCCAAAATCTAATCATTTCACGTCAGGCCGAAATAAACCTTAAGTTTAAAATTTAATGTTTTTTTCTTTATTCGTTTTTGAGTTTTCTTCAAAATTCTAAATTTACACTTTTTCTCAAATATCTCAAATACGGTCCATTTTAGAGAAATTATGTATAGGATAAAAATTATAGAGAATTATATTACAAACAACTTTTATTTGAACAATTTTTATAAAAAATTATTTTTTTTACATTTTGTCAAATTTCTCGAATACGGACCATTTTAGGAAAATTTTGTATAGAACAAAAATTATAGATAATTTTATTAGAAGTAACTTTTATTTAAAGAATTTTCTTCTCCAAACGTAAATAACAGATATATTCCATAAAATATAAAAATGACCACCTATAAAGTACCCCCCCAGATGTTCCGACTCTGTCCAAAATCTAATCAGTTCATTAGACGCTGGAATAAAGCTTAAATTTGGTGTTTTTCTGTGTATCGGTTCATGAGTTATGCGACACACATCATACATCAACGCGAAAATAGTCAAAACGGATTCAGGGGACCTCAAAACGTAAAAATCCGTCGAAAACTCGAGGTCGAAAAAAATCATGATTCCTATACTTTCCTTATATCTGTATACAGATAGGAAAGTAAAAACGATATTGGTACTATTTCACAGAGGGTAACGTGTACTACAATATGGCCACAAAATCCAAAAAGTCACTTTACAAATTAGGTAAATGTATCATTTTAAGCATTTAAAAAACCATTGAGGCTTACGACCCCAAAAAATTAAAAATGCGAGTTCCTCGGTTTTATCCTTAGATAAAAGAGACCAAAGATGTAACATTGCACATCGCGCATGTTGTCTATTCCAACCCTAAGTAACCCACCAATTAAAAATCATTGTGTTCACGACGCCATCCGAATTGCTCCGAAATTTCTATTCTATGCTTGTCTCCGCGTGAGTAAATCATTTATGGACCGCCGTTTTTTGAATTATTTGTTGGTGTTATTAGCAATTTAAAGTGTTAGTTATTCAATTTCAAGTTGAAAATGCCACGATGTATGGTAAAAAATTGTATACACAAATAATATAAGTGTCAATGTTATGAAAAATGAGAAATTAATACGTTTTCAGCGGTAAATATTTGTTGACGTTTTGACATAAAGTCGCCATGATTCTTTGAGCTGAATACTTCAGATCCGCATTAAGGGGTTTAAATAAATATTTATTATATATTATATAATCGATATTTCGGTTATTTTTTAGAATGATCGATTTATCGGTCAATCAACTTTTTATTAATCGATTATTTTCGATTTTTCAAAGAAAATTAAATAATCAATTTTAAAAGGAATATGAAAAAAGAAAAGGATTTTTTTTTTGGAAAATCGATTTATCGTAGATTCGTCTTCTTAATTAATTGATTATTTTCGCTTAATCGGTTATTTTTGATTAACCGAATATTTTCGATTAATCGATTATTTTCAATTTTTCAAAGGTATTCGAATAATTTGTTTTAAAAGAAATGGGAAAAAATAGATTATATGAAAATAATCGATTGATCGAATATAATCGGTTATTTTATATAATAGATATTTCGGTTATTTTTTAGAATTATCTATTTATCGGTCAATCAGGTTTTTATTAATCGATTATTTTCGTTTTTTCAAATAATCAATTTTAAATGAAATATGAAAACAAAAGGATTATTTGAAAATAATCGATAATTCAGTTATTTTTTTGGAAAATCGATTTATCGTAGAATCGGCTTCTTAATTAATTGGTTATTTTCCCTTAATCGATTATTTTCGATTAAGCGATTATTTTCATTGTTTCAAAAATGATCGAATAATTGATTTTAAAGGAAATAAATCTTTTTTTTTTTGAAAAATCGATTATTTAAAAATAATCCATTATTTAAAATAAACGATAATTGGTTTATTATTTTTTGTAAACACTGATTTATCGGTTAATTGGCTTTTTAATTAATCTATTATTTTTGATTTTTTAAAGATAATCAAGTAGTCGATTTTAAAGGAAATACGAACAAAAATAGATTGTTTGAAAATAATCGATTGATCGAAAATATTCGATTATTATTATTGATCAATAATTTATTTCAATAATCACCTACTCTTAGCGTCCAAATGCCTTTTAATAGGTTTAAATTTTAAAATGTTATCTGGTTTCAGACATATGCATTTCTAGAGTTTTATGTGACTCATCCTATATATTAATTAATATTCCTAAAGAAACAAGCTTTAGTATATCTTTTTCTGAGGTTATAATACAAAACAGCATTTTCTCATTTTGACTAATTTTTAATATTATGTGATAATCGTGGAAAAAATATAATATTCAACTCACAAGGTTTTATTTGCAGTATTCGCCTGCGCACATGCTTTTTTTATAATACTCGTAGACAATGAGTACCATTTCTTACTCGATTAACAATATTCTATTTCAATATTTTACTGTAGTCTCTTACAGAAAAGTCCGTAGTAAATAATAGCTAACTAAATATTCTATAAAAGGTCTTCTCTTTACAAAAAATGTCGTGGCATCTATTTGATATTAAAAAATCATATTAAATTTATTTGATAATACAAAATTCCATTAAACGTATATTTTAAATAAATCTAATAGTTCATTATGATGCTAATAAACAAAGTCCGGTCCCTGTCACAGAGTTCGGGTTCCTGCCCAGTTCCCCACTCCGTTAACCTTTCTTTAGAAATTGGCAACATTTGCGCAGGTTAAACACCGGTGTATGTTATATCTCTGGTCTCTTTTATCTAAGGTTTTATCTTAAGAAAAAAATTGTGAAAAATGTTGTAATTTTTATGTTAACATTACGAACTTAGCTAAACAAGATTTTAAAATAAAAGTTTCTAAAATGTGTTTAGATCATAACAAAACATCAACCATATTTTTATGTCTTATAATAATCAAAATGTTTTCGCAAAAATCCTCTCAAGCCCTGGATCAACGCTGATATAATGTCCTTAATTCACAACAAAAAAAGTTTGTGAATAAAATATAAAAAATCAAATATCCTAACTGACCATGAAGTACACAGAAACTTCTCTAACATACTTTCTGCTACAATTCGTTCGGCAAGAATTGAATACGAAGAGATCCTTACAAACTCTAGACAATCCGAAAAAAAATATATAAGTATAACTGTAGTAGCCTAAACTCAAAAGTTTATGTTCCTTTGTTACGAAAAGCTAATGGTTATCTCAGTTCCAGTAACCTCGAATCCTCAGAAATGTTGACAGAAACATTCAGCTTAACTTTTACAAACGAAACAAATAATAATAATAATAAACTTTATTTGCAACTTCCAGTTTTTTATACATATAAAAATATTCAGAAAAAAGTGCCAAAGAAGGCTGCAAAAAGGACTGGTGAACAGTGGATACTGATCAAAGCACCAGCCCTGAGTATTACCAACGCCACAAGACATCGTACAAAAAACAATATAAATATAAATACAAATGATAGTGAGAAAAAAGTATAAACATTCTAAAAAGTAGCTATCACTCTGCTGTGTCAAGAAGAAACTTTTTGAATTTTTTTTTTAAATTTACTTACAGACATTTCTTTAAAATGTTGTGGGATAACCATACATTGCATAAATATTATAAGTGAAAGACCGTCTAAAAATAGCAGTATTATGTATTGGAGGTGAGATACGTCCACAAAAACGTAGATTGAGGTTATGAACATCAGAACCTTATTTTATTAAAAAGATATGGAGGGGATTTATGTAAAATAACAGAATGAAACAAATTAGCCGAGTGTAAGTTTCGTCTGGATTGCATATCTAGCCAGTTTGAATCCTTGAGTTTAGTATTCCATAAGAAAATCTTAAACAAGATTTCTGTACTCTCTGAATTCTAATTATGTCTGCGTTATCTAAACAGGGCCCATAAACTGAATCACAAAAGTTAAAATTACTCAAGAACCAGGGAATCTGTTAATAACAATTTTGTTGTAGTTGGAAGAATATGTCGATGTGGGTAAAGCATTTTTAAATTCATGTAAGCTGTTTGGATGCACTTGTTAGCGTGAAGTTTAAATCTCAAGTCATTATCAATTACTAAACCTAAATTGCGAGCAGATGAGGAAAATGATAAAATATTCCCATCAACT